CCAGAGAAAGAGGCTGGCTGCAGAAGGGAGGTGTGAGAGACAAGGCACAGGGTTCTCTCTAAAATATGCAGTGATAATTCTGTTCTTGCAGAAAGAGAGAAGTGTTAGGAATTACTAGATTAGAAGACTTTTAATAACCTTCAAAGGGGGAGTAAAAAGAGGACACGGAAAGGATGCCTTCAGCATGAAAAACAAATTAGATTGATACATGAAGTAGTCAGGACACTGGGAGATAATCTATTTTAATTTGGGAAAAAAGCTATGAACACTTGGTACATTCCCTAAAAGTGATTTTCATCTGCTTCAATGGTAGAAAAGTTGCTTCTAGGAGGTGTAGTTAGATCTGTGGCAGCTTCAGATGGTTCCCTTGCACTCTGTTCTGTTCACTGTCACCTCGTTTGCTCACACACATCCAGCAGAGCAGGGCTGGCTCTGTTCCTGCCCCTGGCCCGTGGGACACAGCCCCAGAGCGAGGTTTGGCACCCCTGAGCCAGGAGCAGCAGCTCAGCTGAGGGGCTGCAGCACCAGTGACCCCAAATGAGCTCCTACACCCAGCCAAAGGGAGAGTCACCCCTGAGGACGTCAGGGGACACGAGCAGCCCTGGCCCAGGAGCATCCCAGCAGTGCCACCCACGGCACAGACTGCAGGGAAATGGGAAAACCTTCTCCAGACAAGCCCCACGGCCAGGAACACACAGCAACAGGGAATTGCATATTTAGATTTATTCAAGTTTTCTGAGTCACAAATTAGCACTTTTAAGAGCTGATCTTTTTCCCAATTGACTTTAATCAAGTGCTTCAGAAGCTAGAAAATGTTTTAAGTGAATAGAGCTCCTAAGCAGAGAGCCCAGGGAACAGGATAGCAGCAATTTTGTACTCTCTTTCAATGGCTTTGCTTTGCTTTTTTGCTTTGTTATTGCATTTTTTACAGTTTTCAACACAGGAGAAGCACCACAGCTGTAGGTTTCACAAACAAAATGAGAGGTGCAGGCAGAAAGAGACCCTTGAGGAGACAAGTTCAAGCAAAAAATTAAAAACATTTTCTTGACAGTGTCAAGATGATTTTTTAAATGTCAATCAACCTGATGATTTTTTAATGATGATTTTTTTAAATGTCCACTTGGTTCTGATCTCTAATGCACTTCATAAAGACAAGAGACTGATATTCTCTAAATGACAGAATCCTTTTATTTTCCAATATATTGTGTGAAAACAAAGTCTCTTTTCATTTATAAATAATACCTCAGGAAAAAAAAATCAACACACTTCATAATATATGTCTGTTTCTATAGTTTCACTGTGTTTAGTGAAATGAACTCAGGCACCACCAGTTACATTTTAAGGCAAATGATCTTGGGGAATCTGATTGAAAATCTGTCATGAAAGAAACACCCTGTCTTTATCTGTATGGAGATGCCAGAGAAAAACCTGGGTGAATTTTGTATCATGGAAGGCTCATGGAGGATCTGTTCTTGTTGTCAAATATACTGAATTTATCCAACCAGGATCTCTGTAGCTCCTTCCCCCAGTGCCTCCTGGGCCTGTTCCATTCCCCTCTCTGCCCTGGAGATGGGAGCCTGAAGCAGTCCTTATTTCACCTCTCAATGTCTGTGCTGCTACCAGAGTGTGAAGACTGAAAATCCTGGGCAATGGGTGCTTGCTGCTGGCACAGCCCTGTGAACCTGTCCTGGTTTAGGGCAAACTTGGGAGAGAACCTCCAAATGGGGTTCTTCTAGAAAAGAAAAATTCAAATGGTCCCTCAGCCCAACTGGTTTGGGAAAAAAAAAAATTCTTTGGAGAGAAGTGGAAAAAACCTGTTTATTTAACAGAAATTGAATAATATTAAACAATAAAACTTCTCACTGTTGGAAGAGATGGCAAATCCAGAACAAATCCTTTCCATGGGGTGTAGCTCAGCCCTCTCAGTCTCTTATCAGTCCCTCCAGGGCTGGAAAGTGCCAAGGCCCAGGCCCTGGTGGGCCACAGGTGTGAGCTCCGGGGTTTGTTTGGGTTTTCAGTCCCAAGCAGGTTTGAACAGATCCAAGGAAAAAGGATAAAAACAGTCCAGGGAACTTCCCTGCCTCAGCTAGCTAAAAACTAACAGCAAAGGAGAGCTCTGTCCCTCTGTCTGTCCATGCTGCAGACACCACAGGTGCAGGATGCAGGGCACTGAGGGCTCTCTGAACACCACAGCCCAGGAGCAGGATGCAGGGCACTGAGGGCTCTCTCTGAACACAGCCCAGGAGCAGGATGCAGGACACTGAGGGCTCTCTGAACACAGCCCAGGAGCAGGATGCAGGGCACTGAGGGCTCTCTCTCAACACAAACTGCAGCTTCTGCTTTCCCCCCTTCGCTCTCAGAGCCAGCATTAAAGGTGCAGAACTTAATATGGAACATAAAACAGGCAATTGGGGATACAAGCATCATAAAGTCACCCCAGGACATTCCACCCCTTATCCCCATATTGCTGACTTATTACTAAAATTAATACATATTCTAACTACAGCACATTCATTCTGTACAGACAAAGGCATTTGTTCATGGTTCTCACCCAACAATCAGATCTCCCTGAGGCACACATCCTGTTGTTCCATCTCTCTGCATTATCCACTGTGTGCAACCCGGTCCCTCAGCAAAGACAATCTCACAAATGTTTGTCTGTACTTGAAGTAGAATTGATCCAAACTGTCTTTCCTAACAAACCTCTGACAGGCACCACTGGGACTTTGTCTGTATTTCCTGTGTGCAGGGGCTCAGATTGGGCAGGGTGTGCTGTTCTGGTGGAACCTCGGGTGTTCACTATCCAGGTGGCACTGGGTGTCACCCCAGGACAGAGCCCCAGGCGAGGCTGTGCCCACCCTGCAGAGCTGCTGCTGTTTGACACAATCCTGCCCCAACACCCCTCAGACAAACTCCCCTTTCTCTAGGGTGCTTTGCCTGAACAAATCAGTCTGATTTTCTCTCTGAAAAGTGAAATTAGAAATCAGGTGACCTCGCATTTCCATCACTTCCTCTGCTGCTTGGCAGTGCCAGGAAACAACTCCTACAGCCAAGGGATTAAAAGTGAAAAAAATCTTTATTATTACAAAACAACTGAGTCTTCCAAAATCTTACCTGCAAAACGATCTGGAAATGGCTCCTTTCTCAAAATATATAATGTCTTTCATGAGCTTGTGGGAATCAAAGCAGGGACAGAGCTGACAGGAGTAGTGACAAGGAGTTCAGCACAGTCGCTGTGCCCAGTGGAGATCTGGGAATCAGAGTTCCACCACAACCCCAGAAGTGTCTTTTGAAGTCATTAGGATTTAACAATTAATAGAGAGATTTGTTTGATAGCTAGATGCAGCCAGATAAAAAAGCCATTCTGTTCCAATTTCCCATTATTTTGCCTGTAACACATTAACAGCATACTTTGATGCATTTTTATATCTGAACCTTTATAATTGAAAGTGAAAAAATTCAACTCACCTACTTCACTATATTTAAAAAAGAATACTGATTCTCTTTTAATAACAAATGTGCAAAGTCATGACTTTGAACTGAAAGGATGAAAGATAAAAGTGAAAACCAAGGAATCAGTGATGATCATTTCCTATGTTACCAATTTTAAAGCTTACACAATATTTCTATGATGGTTTTCAAATATTTTACATTGCCTGAATTGGTATATATTGAACTAGATAGTAAACGTTCATCCCACTGCAGTCATCAGCAAAAACCTTTCTTTTTTGAGATTTATTCTTTATTAATTGGGTCTCTTGATCCTGGCCCTGTTAATTGTTAACAGCAAAGGGATCAAGAGACCTGGGACTGTGTCTGATCTGAGTTACAGCTGCTGAATGTGCTCTGAATATTCCATTATAAGACTTAATTTTGCACCATGAGACAACTTTAAATATTTTTTTCAAAGCTATTATTTTTCCTTACCTGCACTCCCCATTTAATGTTTAATGCTGCTCTGTCCCTTCGCAAAAAACACCTCAAATTCCCTCCAACTTGGTTTCAAAACTTCTCCTATTTCACAAAATTTAGAATAGATTTCTACTAAATGTTTCTACTACTTCACAAGGTGTTTTTCTCATTTACTGCTTTTATTTTTCAAGTGCCTTCCTAGCAGGATTTGTTTTAATTAAAAATATAGTTTTATTAGCACATAGTTCCACTGGCTGACTATAGAGCTACCCTTAATTAACTTTTATCCAAGTTCAACGTGTGCAAGTAAACTTCCCATGGCTCTCAACACACACTGGAATATTTCTTTTTCCCCATACAGAACTTGGGAATTACTTTGGTGAATCATGATGTGCTTTTAAGGAGAAAAAATATGATCTGAGTTTTTCACTGTAAACCTCCTAAATATCTGTGAATCCAAATTTCTGTACAAATCAGGGCTGGCTGCAAACACAAACGCTGGCAAACAGCAGAGGATGTGAAGCTGCAAACACAAATTTCTCAAATTCTGGAATTGGATCCCATTAATTGAAATACATTTTTCATTACTTTGCTATTTTCCAACTTGTTGATCATGTTTATATTTTTTGGAGTCACTCACAACAGTGATGGTCTTCCTTTGAAAGATAAAAGTTGGTCTTTTTATATAAATTTGTTTGCCTCAGGTTTGAAATCTTACAGAAGACATCAAATATTCCACCACTTGACAATAAAATCCGAAGTGGCAGTTTGGAATATTTATTCTAAAATAATCAAAGGAATTCTTTGATGCATACTTCAATAATTATTTAGTACATTTTACTCCTATAAATACGTTTCTTTGCCTTACAGACAAAATGAAAAAGTCTTAAAAGATATTTCAAATGAATAATTCAAACAATGACTGACAGTATAATTGTTTATATTTTTTCCAGGTTGGCACATTCACTTTCTTCCTTCAATTTATAAACCAAGTTATCACTCTCTGTGATATTTATAACATTTGAATAAATAGAAGAATCTTTATAAAGATGTCAATTTTTATTTTTTTTACATTGAATCTGCTCCCATTATTTTAGTTCTTTAGTTGAGAAAGCTCAACTCCTGCTACCACTTGTATCCCACCTTTGGTGGGATTTTAGCTGTTCTAAGGAAATGCATAAGCACTGGCAATTAAATTGCCTTTTCAATTTTGTACAGCTTATTAAGTTGTTTTATTGTACAGGAAGATTAGAGTCTTCCATAGGAACAGGAAAATTCCTAAATCCGTGGATTAAAGCTGTGATATCTTGTACCAACCCACTTTCTGAAGGAGCTCTGAAAGAGACAGAAGTCAATTGAAGTGAGAATGTAAGAAAAGGAAATAAAATCATCAGTTGCACAAGAATGAAAATAATGAGATGGAATTGGAAAAACTTTCATATCTCTTAGGGAATGAATCTCTTAGGGAATGAACCTGAGGAGCAAAACTGCCTTATTTTTTTAAAACCTTAATAAATTCATAAAAATCAGAAGAGTAAGGCTACAAAGAGAGGTTAAAAACCCCACTATCAATAAAAAAACTGCTTGGGGCAAAACAAAAAGCTGTGGGCAGCTATAAGAGCAGTGGAAAACGAGCAGACAGGGAATGGGAACCAACACATGGAATTATGGCTTACAAGGCCAGCAAGGATTTTGGATTTCTGAGCTGGGCAGCAGCAGCAGCTGATCCAAATAGGAAATATGGACAGACTTTGATGTCAGCAAAGGAACCTCCCCTTGATCCCTATTTTTTGCATTAATGGGATGTAACAACTACAAAGTTCCATGAGGACCAGAGTGTGATCCCTGAGCTGAGGATGCAGCAGGGAACTCCCCCAGGTTCTGCTCACACAGCCCAGGAGAGCAGGACTGACCCCCTGGGATCCCACCTGAGTGCAGAGCTTGGGGGAGCAGGGCAGGGGGCTGAAGCAGGCAGGGGGGGCTGGAGCAGGGGAGGGAGGGCTGGGAAGGGAGGGACTCACATTACTCACAACTAAAAGTACAACTCCAATATGACCACTGCAAGCTCTGAGTGGAAATGTGATTTAGATCAATATCTGGAGACTTCTGATGAGGTAACTCGGCTGCCACAGCACTGTCGTTGCCTAAAAAGAATTAACAACCATTTCTGAAGGCACTTCTAAACAAAAGCCTCATCTTGGGAAAATGGAAGCTAAGAAACATTTAACTCATTCACTGTTGGGAGACCAAGGCACACAGGGGGCTGTGAGGAAGTTGAATGAGTAATTGAATTTCAGCAAATCAATTATGATTAAATCAGGATGAATTTTTAAAGAGAAAAAAAAAAGCATCACTACCAAAAAATTCTCCTGGGATCAATGCCACCTTCCTAGATCGCAGAGAGACAGTTATGTTTTAAAATATTTTGTTCAGAATTCAGACATCTGCTTTACTGTGTGTTTGTTTTGCAGGTTTTGTGGCAGAGGGGCTGGCAATGGATGAGGTCTGCTGTTTAAAATGCTGTGCTGCCTCTGTCTTCACTGTTTTCAATTTATTACCTTATTTAACTGATTGAGAAAGATATTTTAAAAATTGCTAGGTCTCACTGCAATGCCAAATAAAATTAAGGATGTGCTTAAGTACTTAATGGCATGAAAGGAACAGTCATTCTTCTATGTTCTTCTTTGTTTACTGGAGACTTACACTGGGCTCAGTTCATTGCTTTTCAAAAAAAAAAAAAAAGAAACAACACAGAAAACTTTGCTAATTCAATTAAGGAGCTGAAAGTACACAATACAGCAAAACATCATCCACAAAATCCGTGACTTTTCTCTTTTCATGGCAGCAGCTCTTCAAGGTGAAAGGATACAAAGGGTGGGACCACTGCATTCCAGGGAAAACCTTCCAGGCTGGCTGGAACTCAGGGAGAAAACAAGGGTGGGGGCAGGAGGTTCCTCAAATTGACCTCTAAGTACTGGCACAGGACAGGGAGAAGTCACAACAAATCTGAATTGGGAGGATTTATCTGTTGGTAGCAAAGCAAGGTGCTGCAAAACCTTTCCTAGGATTAATGAAGTCCCTGTTGCTCAGCTGGTGAGGAGCAGATCCTCCTCTGAGGAGCCAAGAGCTCCTGAGCATTGAGTTGTTCTGCTGCTCTCAGAAGTGATGCCCTGCAGCATTGATTCTGTCAACACCCTTCCTAATCCTGACATTTCCCGACATTTTCAATTTTGTAAAATAAAAAGAGTTTAAAATTTTTGGCTTTGACCTTGACATAATGAACTGATGGATCACGGCAAGGAAATTGAGAGACTCTGAGCATATTTGTTCCAATTTTGCCTTCTGCTGCTATCAAAACTGCAGATTAAATTACAGGGGTTTTTTATCAGAGAAACTCTAGCTGGAAAATGGATGTTCTTCCTGTGGTGGGGGGGAAGCAATACAAATATTCCATCTTATACAGGGATAGAAATCCCAATTACATGTTAATTCAGGAAGAGTTTTTAGGAGAAAACACATTTAGACACAAACAATTGGATACATTTTTTTTTCAGCTTGCCCAATTTAAGTACCTGCATATAATCTAAAGGAACGTGAATATCCAATCTAAAATCAAGAGATTTTGCTTTGGTGACATGAAAAAAGGTAAGATGCTGTGCTGACCCCTGAACAAACTAGAGATTGGTATATTTAACTCTTAGAACTTCTATCCTAGTAGGAATTTGAAATAAAATATTGAGAAATTAAAATATGTACATTACTAATGGTATAGTCTGTGTGATTCAGGGGCAAATCAAGCCAAAAGGCAAAACAGTTTCTCTTCTTGCCTTAGTCCCTCTCTTCCTACAAAATACACCTCATAAAAAAGAGCAGTGACACAAAAACTTGCTGTGGAATCACAGGTGTGGCACAGACACTCTTGGTTCTGCCTTCCATGGGTTAGAACAAATGTCATTGTTTGCATTGTGACATCAGCTGTGATCAGTTCCTCTGACAGCATCATTTCATACCACAAAATCAAGTGATTATGTTGGATAAATCTCTGTACAACCCCGGCAGCAAAAGGCATAAGAATTGAGATTGGGGGGAAGGGAGTCTTAATTTGATTAAGCAAAGCAGCTGTTTTGTTATAATATCGCTACACATTCCTTTTTTCTGTCTTCCCTCACTCATTCTTCTTTGAGGATCACCTCAGAAAGGCTTTATGTACTGAAAATTCAATCTTTATTATTTTTAACCTGTCTCATACTGCATTCATACATCAGACAGAGTGGGGAGAACAGTCATGGCCAGCACCCAGACAGGGCAGAGACACCTCAGGCTCCAGTAAAGGTGTGGAACACAAGCTGTGTGTGTGTGCACCCCTGTCCCAGCAGGACAAGCTCAGGGGAGCTGACAGCAGCATTTACTCTTCCAAGGCAGCCCCAGGAGCTTCAGGGATGGCCATGGTGAGCCCTCAGCCTGTGGGATTTGCCCTGCACAGGAACGGGCCTCCAGCCAGCAGTCACTGCAAAAACACTTTACAGGGGTGGGGATGGGTTCATAGCTCACCTTTTAAAAGGCCTTCCCAAGTCACCGTGCCCCTGAACAGCTCCTTCCAGTGGGTTTCTGTGAGAAACAAAATGGGAGTGCCAAAGGGGAAAAAGAACTGAGAGATGGTGATTAAAGTGGGGAGGGGCAGGAGCTGAGCAACCAGCAGCTGAGGAAAGAGGAGCCAAGAAAAGTATAGGTTAGCAGAGGTGGGGGACTAGTGAAGATGTACCTGAAAATCAGAGAATCCAGAATGGTTTGGGTGGGAAGGGACCTTGAGGATCACCCAGTGCCACCCCTGCCATGGCAGGGACACCTCCCACTGTCCCAGGCTGCTCCAGCCCCAGTGTCCAACCTGGCCTTGGGCACTGCCAGGGATCCAGGGGCAGCCCCAGCTGCTCTGGGCACCCTGTGCCAGGGCCTGCCCACCCTGCCAGGGAACAATTCCTGCCCAATATCCCATCTATCCCTGTCCTCTGGCACTGGGAGCCATTCCCTGTGTCCTGTCCCTCCAGCCCTTGGCAATTGTCTCTCTCCATCTTTCCTGCAGCTCCTTCAGGCCCTGCAAGGCCACCCTGAGCTCAGCCCAAAGCTTCTCCTCTCCAGGCTGAACAATGAGATGGTTAAAAATATTTCTACTTTCTTTATGTCATTTTAGACATAACAAATTCTTCCATGGGTTTATCTCACATCAAAAAATCTAATTGGAAGGATTTAATCCTGGCTTGATAAACACAGACCTTCTCTCTTTTCCTCTGTCTAAGACTACTCATCTCCAAACTGTTTTGGAAGGGTTGATGTTCACAGATCCTGCCCACACAAACAGCAATGCCTGTGACTCCCCAGCTGAGGCCAGCCCAGCTCTGCCCATCCCTGGGACCTGTCCCAGGGGCAGGGTGACAGCACCAGCCCCGGCACACGGAGCTGGAGGGTGGCACAGGCTCTGAACTGATAAAAGAGGGATCAGCAGTAACCCCCTCCAGAGATGTGTTCCCAAAAATGACCAGACCCTTCTGCCAGCTAATCAGGGCTGGGATTATCTGTAAATTCCTCTCATGGAGAAATCTTACAGAATTGAAATGCTGAACGGAGACAAGGAGCTCAGAGCCATCTGTCCACTCTGCCACCTCTTCACACAGGCCCAAGGACAAGTTTGCAGAAGGCTGACAGTGCTGGTTTCAATGTTGCCCATCTCCAGCATGATCCATATTGGCAGTTTTAACTTCAATCTACTGCTTTGTCTTCCAAAGAGGGACAAGCACTTTAAATAAATCTTCTCTTCCTGCACTCAGTGCTAGCAGTTAATTTTCTCTAAATTCAGTAAAGCATCCATCCTGATTTAACAGACAGCTGGGAAAGACAGGAACAACAACATTGGTCATGAAAGCTTCAGGCTGGCTCCAGAGTACCTCACAGCAAATGTCTTGGGTCAGTAGTTCAAGCTACATTCAGAAGAAAGATAGATTTTTCCATGTTGCAGCCCAGGCTCTTTGTGTCTTAGTCAAATCTTATTGGGAGTCAAAGAAAATTACCTGGACTGGACATTTTGCTTGTCAAAGGCAGCTGCTTTCCCACACCTTACAAGCCTCATATTTCTCTCTGGCTGCTCGATGGCAAGCAGTGAAATCTCAGGAAGAGCATTCCAAACAGATCTGTCTACCTGCACCTCACAAGCAGCCTGGAAAGGAAAACAGTTGTTTGGAGTCCTCACATTCCATTTGTGAGAACACACCAACCAGTGAGAGTGAGGTGAAAAATCCCTGAGAACTATTTCCCTTTAAAATAGTTTCCAAGAAAAATCCAGCATCTCACAAAGGCAAAGCGTGTGGCTACGTCACCAGCACGAGGCAAAATCCACTTTGTGCTGGAAACAGCCACGTCAGTGGGAAAAGGCTCTTATTTTTATTTTCTCTCTACAATTGCAACTGTCATGTAAACTCTTTAATAAAGAGATCAGAGCTAGTCACTAAAGTGCTAGTCAGAAATGCCAGGCGCTGCAGAAATCAGCATTTTAATTTGAGTTCTGAACAGAATGAAGCCTTAACATAGCTCTCAAGCTATTTAAATATGGGGGAAATTAGAGGAATGAAAGAAAATAACACAGCTGGCAACTATTTAAAAAGAGCAGACTGACTTTTGTAAGTTCAAACAGGGCTGTTGAGAAATAACTTGTTATAAACTATGCAAAATCAGATGTTGTACAAATATACATCTTTATTTATCTCTCCAGATCAAAACTTCGACAATAATTAATCATAATGAAAGTTTCTCCAAGAAAACTCAAAAATACTTAACTCTGAAAGAGCCTGCAAATATTTGGTTAAGATATATATTAGTGTGTGTGAATGTGTGGTTATGTACACACAGTTAAAACTAATCTACTGCAAAGTTCTTCTAGAAAAATCTCTTCTTTCTGTACATTATTTATCTTCAGTGAATTATTCTGTAGCATCTGGGAAGACTAATTTAGGCAAAGAAAATTTCCAGCTAAAACCAGCATCTAAGTTTTTTCTATTTTTTGGAACTCCAATAACGCAACAGCTACTCAGAGATTACACACAGGCTGCTCCACCCTCTTCCTGGGCTGGCTCCCAGCAGCTGTCCAACATACGGCTCCAAGTTCTTGAGGAGTTTATTTTGCCATCAGAACGTTACAAAATGTAAATTTTTCGTCTCTGCAGGCAGAAGACTGGAGTGGGACAGGAGCAGCAGGGGAACCTGAGCTCCTCAGCACACTGCAGAGTGATGGAAATGCTCCTTGTACACAGGATCCCAGCTTTGTCCTGCAGAATTCAGCTGGCAGAAATACTGCAGCTCATTTTTAAAAAGAGAGAGGGAGAGAATAAATAAAAAAGGAGGCATGATAAACTCAGGACCTGTGCAGATAAAAAGCTTCCAGCCATTCAGGTGCTGATAAAACTGAAAGACCAATGGACAGTTGTGTATCTGTCCCCACTTCCCACTGCCTGGTCTGTCTCCCACTCCTGCCAAGAGTATGGATAGCCCAGCCCTTCTAGTTCTAATAATACACAGAATAAAGCTCTTTGCTTTGTGTTTTCATAATTTGTACAGGTCTGCTTATTTTATGTCAGTCTTTTGCAAGCCAAATAATTTCTTTCCATGGCACACCCTGCAGGGCTTCACTTGGGCTTTTGATTAAAAGGAGTGGGGTTTTTTTAAGCTTGATGAGTTTGCAAAAGTGTTTAAATTTCTTTTCTTTTTCACTTACAGCTTTGCTAGCACAGCCCCACAAAATCCTTCGGTGGTAAACAGCTCCAGGATGAGGAGGGAGGAGAAACCAGCCTGCTGGCATTGTCTCTGCTGCCATCCCAAGACAGAAATGCAATCCTCGTTCCCTTTCCTGGCCCAGGATCTGGCTGGTGCATTGTCCAGGAAGGGAACCAGGATCACATTTGCTGCCTGGCAGCCAAGGAGTGCATTGTGCTGTGGCTGGGGGCCACGGGAGCTCATCTTGGAGATGGTCATTCATCACTTCTTTAACAAAGCAGAGGAGCCCCTGCCGCAGCAGGGTCTGTCCAGCCTTGCAGAACGAGGAGCTTTTAACGGGTTCCTGCTTTTATTCAAACCTGGGCACATTTTCATTCTACTCCAAATGATTTCTCCTTGCCAGTGCCTTTGAAACCCATTCAGCAGGTGGAATATTCCAGGATATCACAGCCTTAAAAGCCCAGGTTCCTGTCTGAGGCTCTCATTCTGACAGGATTGAGTCTAATCGTTTCCAGTACCACTGAACAACTTAATAAGCTGCAAAAATTTGATAAGACAATGTAATTGCCAGCTTTTATGTATATTCTTAAAATAGCTATGTTCCTCACAGAGGTTGTGCAGGATATAAGTGTTAGCAGGAGCAATTAAAGAAGTGAAACAATTGAAGCAGATTAGAGAATTACAGCATGCAAAAACTGTAAAAAATTCCAAACAAATTGTCATTATTCCTTGTCTCATATAAACAATAATTTCAGGTACTGGAACAAATTACTCAAAACCAGAAAATCACTATGAGAAATAAAGATAATATTTACTCATACTGCAGGAAAAATAGGTATAAGGAGCCTTGTATCAGTTCAGGTAATTGAAGATGCTGGAATGAATTAACTTTCACACATTTCAGCTATTCAAATCAGTGGAATAATACAGTCATTTCCTTATTCCAAATATTGGTGTTCAACACATCAGCAGGTAGAAGGTGCAGTCTTTATTGTAAGTTATTTCCATCCCCTTTCCCAAGACCAGGCAGCTCCTGTTGTGAGGAAGCTCCAGGGCTCCCCCTCTGTGCCCTGGCC